GAAACTGCCTATAGCTGAAAATATCCATTCCTTTGGGTACTTCAGCAATTAAATTCCCTATAGTATCAGTAACTTTCCTGCATATATATCAAATTCCGCCTCATAAACTATCCACTCAGCTGCCTCTCTTAATGAAGGCTGCTAGGGGGAGCCATTGAAAGGTTTTGTAACTTAGGAGTGAAGTGATCAGATTTGCTCTTCAGAAAGACTGTGGGGGAAAAAAGAAAATAAAAAAGAAAGACTGTGTGGAAGGTTGGATAAAGGGGGGTGAGTCTAGAAGCAAAAAGAAGAAACTGCCAATATCTATAGTAATCCAGGTGAGAAACGATGAGAGCATGAACTGTGAGAGTGAGGATAAAGGAGACAGATAAAAGCAATTTTTCAGAAGAGAAAATTATCTGTCCTCAGTGATTACAGGTAAAGGGTTAGTGTAAGAGGAATCCAAAAACCTGGTTCGGGCAACTAGTTAGGATGTGATATCATCTACCTGGAACAAAAAATGCAACAGGTTTTGATATATTATATAAATAAACAAATATATATGGAGGGAAGGAGGGAAAGAGAGAATGAATCCCAAGTGCAAGGGTCAAGTCTAAAATTATGGTCCTGGTTGTTAGAAAATATTCTTGAGAACAATTGACAAAGCACTCAAAATATAAGGTATATTGGCCTAGACCAGGAGTGGGCAAACTTTTTGACTCGAGGGCCACAATGGGCTCTTAAACTGGACCGGAGGGCCGGAACAAAAGCATGGATGGAGTGTTTGTGTGAACTAATATAAATTCAAAGTAAACATCATTACATAAAAGGGTACGGTCTCTGCTTTTTTAGTTTTATTCATTTCAAACGGGCCGGATCCGGCCTGCGGGCCGTAGTTTGCCCACGGCTGGCCTAGAGTCTAGTGAAAACATTTTGTGGTATTATTTTTTTAATATTACCACATGCACAAAACAAGTCACTGGAAGAAAAGCATCCTATCCTTTTAATTGTTTATTACATTTGAGTTCGACCGACCTTCAGTCTCTTACACAACACACACTACATACACACCACCCTGTAATTTATTTTACTTCTCCCTCTCCCTCTAAGCTTATAGGAGGAAAAAGTATCTGTTTTATTAGTGAAACAATCCTACATAATAAAAGCCTAATATGCAAATTGTCCCCTCAGTCAGTCGTTTGACAGGGAGTTCGACCGCTCGCTATAATGTGTGCTGACCACCAGGGGGTGACGCGAAACATGGAAGGCATCGACAACGTGCTGCGACCCCTCGCCAGCTACCTGGGGCCAGGGTAATGGCTGAGAATGTGGGGTGTCTGCGGAGCTCGCTCTCACTCCCCCTGCTACCATCCCCTGGGACGCCAGGGCTCATGCACCAGGAAAGCCCCCACGCTCAGGTGCCAGGTGCCCATGAGGAGCCCACCCCACACCTGCACGGCCTCTTTCGGGTGAGCCAGGCCACAGCCACCAGGGCCACAGGGGCCGGTAGGGCTCCCCTTGGGTTCGCACATTGCACAGGAGCCGGTCTGTGAGGCTGGCCAGGAGAGAGCACGCTACCCACCCAGCTTTCATGTGGCGCCACTGGGCAGACCAGAGGCCCATGCTGTGCCCTGGCCCACAGAGTCTGGCCATGCTCACCCAAGCTCTGCATGGGGACTCGGGTGCTGTGACTCAGGCAGAGGGGGTCACGCAGAGGCCCGGGGGCCCAGGTGCTACCCAGGGCCCAGCGGTCAGCTGGGACCTGCCCTTCCACACCAGACATTTGCACTTCGATTGCTGGCCAGGCCTAGGGACCACACTGGTGCATGAATTTTGTGCACCGGGCTACTAGTAATACATATTTGGGGGGTGGTTGTTTTTCATCCCACTATCACCAATGTGACTTACCAAGAACTTAGTTCATAACCTCCTACTTGACTTACCATAAAATATGACCTATTTCACATCAGCTTAGTACAGCAACAATCCCTAGACTCTAACCACACCTTTCATCTAAGGATGCTTTCTCCAAATCCGAAAGCACATCAGCCCTGTGCAGATGTGGCAAGTTGTTACAATTCCCATTTTACTACACAGTTAGGAAACTGGCCCAGGGGAAGTAGAGTAACTTGGAAATAGTCAAGAAGCCTGATGCCAAAAATAACAACTTTTAGTCAATCTATGAGAAAATACTCCCCCTAGTTGAAATAACATGAAATTCAGTACTAGGAGAAAGTGAAATGCAAAATGTTTTAAAGCCTCATTCTAGGTTTTTACATTTTATTTTTTAAAATGACCAAATACTAGAATTAAGACAATTTGCAAGAACTTTCAAGCACACTCTTCTTCTCCCTAATACCTTATCTAGAGTGCCAAAAATGACTTAATAAATTACAGCTGGCAAGAGAGTGCCTTTTCTCCCAAACCATTTTTTTTTCTTAGCCACTTAAAAGACATTGATAGAAATGTTAGTATAGGACAAGAGGTAACTTTTTAACAAATTTAACTGCTTAAAATTTACTACCTAGAAGAATATATTAGAATAGATCTCAAAATATTGCAAGTAAGCCTATTTTTCCTGAAAATATACTGTCTATAGACACATCTACAATATGCTTAAACAATAAATTTAAAGCTTAAATCACCAATAATCAGAAGGGCCTCCCAACAACAGTTCATGTGATATATTTTTACATTTGCTATTGTTTGATATAATTTAGTAAAAGCACTGTTTTATTTGGTCACCATATGCAGGTCTTACACACCCTGGAGACAAAAAAAAACACAACTTGATTTGTAAAAGTTGCTTTCATGATATAGGTGTGATCATTCTTATACGCACAAGTCCTTCCATTATTACAATACTTAACATTTACTTAGTGTGCAAAACAACAGTGTGCTCAAGATTTTACCTTCAAAAGAATGAATATACACTAAGAACTAGTAAGGGAGACAAATGATTATTAGTAAAAATCTATTCATGGAACCAAGACAGCAAATTTTCACTAACACCTCACCTATCACTCATGAAACATGATTTCCTGTTCATTAAAATTCAAACTACTAGTTCTAATCACAGCCTTCAAATAAAATGCTTTCCACTACACCACATTCCCCGCACTAAATCTTTCATATCCTCTACTAGTAGTACTTTTTGTGGAACTTTAGTTTACAAATGAAATGACGCTCCAAATGATTTTTATAGCTAACATATCTCCTGTGATCAACTAGTAGGGTGGAAATCCTGGAAAATCTAACTAATACGGTCTTATTCCCAGCACCAGGCTATTCAAGCCAAATAAATACACCACACCACCCTCCCCGCTGCACCCCACACAGAACGCCAAGCTTTTCACGCTACCATCACAATAAGCACTCTGAAAATGCAAAGCCCCCTCAACATTAGAAGAGCCAGGACATTAAGACTATTTATATGTACTTTCACTGCATTTCATTAACGCGTTCCACAAACAGAAACTGCAGTCTTAAGGGCTTTACTCATCTCAACTCCAAAGATGGAGCGGAGAGGTTGTCATAAATCTACAGAGCAGCGGCACATAACTGTAAACTCTCTAATGAGTAAGAAAAAGTGGAATAATCACATCAATTCCTAAGGACGGTGCCTTCCTTTTTCCTGACAAAGCGGGAGTTGCTGGTAAGATAACTAAACTCCACACCTAGAGTCTCTAGAAAATGCTAAAATTCTCCACGCCACGAGTTTTTAACATCAAAATTCACTTAACTGCTACCCACATACCAAATGAATAACCAGTGTGGATATCTGAAATTATCCTCACACACCAACTGGAAGAAAAAAAAAATATATATGTCTATACCTTGCGCCTCTTCTAAGCGTCCTACAATAACAATAATACCCTCCGCTAAGCTAAAGCTACACCAGCTGCCCTTGGCCTAGGTCGGACGTCAGAAACCCAGGACCTGGTGGGGTGGGGGGCCCAAGAACCAAAGACCCGATCTTTTTCCAGGGTTACTGTTTCCAACAAAACAACCACAGGCCCAAAGAGAGATGGCCAAGAGACCTGCAGACCTTGCAATCCTGAGAGACACTGGGGGAGTGGGGACGCACTCCCGAGAGAAAGGGGTGCGGAGGGGAGCAGCGCCGAGGAGGAAAGTAAGTGTCCCCACGCGCCTTGCAGACCCACAGAAACCACTCACCCTGGTCTGCCCGCGCGGACGGGCACCAGATGGAGCGAGTCCCCGCCTCGGGCTCAGACAGCTCGGCTCGGCCGGCACGCACAGTGGGGAGTGGATCAATCACCCGATGACGGGAGGGGAGTGGGGGTGCCCAACGAGAAAGCCACGGGTGGGGAAGACAAAGCCTCTGGGGGTGATCAGGGACCCAGCAGAGAGGAGAACACATGAGAAAAATTAAAAAGAAAAGAAAAAAGAGAGCAATCTGGTGCCTGGTCTGTGGCAGGTCACGGAGGGACCGAATAGAGAGGGAAACAACAAAGGGGCACCGGAGGGAGGACAGCTGCGGGGAGGTGATAGAGCTGGGATGCGGGGCGCGATGGGTCGGACAAAGCGCCCACGGCGGCGAAACAAAGGGCCGGGGGTAGAGACTAGCGGGGGGCAACCGGGGAAGACAAAGCGCCCGGGGCCGGGGGCACGGGCCAGGCGAGGAGGGGCACGGGTCGACCCGAGGAACAAAGCTGCGCGGGGCTGGGAGGCCGGGCCCACGAGCGGCGGCGCGGGAGGCGCGCGGAGGGCACTGCGCCCGCGGGTCCCGCGCGCCCGGCCGCACTCACGCCCGCACCCGCCGGCCTCGCCGCCGCCGCCTCCTGCCCTCGCGCGCCGGAGCCCGAGCCACCGCGGCGCGGAGCGGGCAGCGCAGAGCGGGCAGCGCACGGCCACACGCCGCCGCGCTCCGCGCACGCGTCACCGCCCCCGCGGCCCCCAGGCGCCCGGCGCGCCGCGGTCTCGGAACCCGCCGAGAGCCGCGGGCTAGGAGACGCCCGCAACTTTCCCGGTTCCCAGCGATCCGGTTCCCCCAGACTTACCCTGTCACAACAGGCGCCATCTTCCACAAACTCTCGCCAAAACTCCAACCCTCGCGAGATCCCCCCAGACGCCTTCCCCGGTCCCTCTCCCCCGCCCCTTCCCTCCTGCCTCACGCCTCGATTCCACCCGGCCCCCGCGCTCCTGCTCCCCTCGCAGCCGACGCGGAGAGCCAGACGCCTCGCGCCGCCCGCGGAGCCGGGGATCCTGTTCGCTGCCTCCCCTGGAAACCTACCCCAGCGATGGAGCATGCGCAGGCGGCCCCTCCGCGGGCGAGCCCTCCGTGTGGTCCATGGGGAGCGCTCCGGTTATCCGGGTTTTGAGACGCGCCCGGAGGGACGTACGTGGAGTCTGAGGAAAACCGGAGGGGATTACAACGGGGACGGGGAATGGAGGGGTCAGGAGGCGGGGCCGAGGGGAAGGTCCTGGGAAAATCGGCCGCGTTTCACAGGCCTAGAGGAAACACCTCCTCAAATGGGTGTTTTCCAAGTGGCTTCCCGCTCACTCTAGTTCCCAGCCCTTTTCATTCATTCAGACGTTCATTGGACGCCTCCGTTATGCTAATATCAGCGTTGGGAACTGGAGCTACCGAAGCCCAGAGTTGGGCGAGTGACAAACCAGGAACTGTCTTCGTTCATGCAACCCCCCCCCCCCCCCGCCCCGGCCCACCGGAGATTCGGACAAAAGTGCAATGTGGTTCGACCCTCCAGAACTCTGTCAAGTGAAAACTTTTGCAGTTGAGCTCTGTCGCCTTAGCTTTCCTTCCTGGGTATGAAACGAGGTCAGGCCAACACCTCTGGCAAAGACATCCCTAATGTCCACCTCGCATACACACCCCGGGGAGCCGGGTAGTTTTCTCTGGCGGTGGAGATCCACCACTCCCCCGCCCCGCACTCCAACCAGCGATCCCACTGGGGCACAGAGCTGCCTGCGGTGCGGTGTGAGCCTCCCTAGGACCTCTCACAGCCCCCGGCCCGGCGTGAACCCGGGTGCATACAGGGGCAGACTCTGCCCGGGTCCTCCCGTCGGCCTGGCATCGTTGACGACGCCGCTTGCTGCCTGAAAATGTACTTCGGGCGACCTAAGCCTGGAAGCCCCCCGAGCAAACTTGGCTTGAGTGGGCACTGAACGAACAAAAAGGAGCAGAGCAGGGCCCCAACCCGCTCCCGCTACCTGTAGCACCCCCTTTCCTATTCCGCTCCCCACCTCCCCGAGCCCTTTCAATTCCTAGAGATTCCCAGAACTAGCTCTGCCTCCCGCAGGGAGCCCCAAAACCCGGAGAACTGGAATTCGCTGCCCGAAACCTGCTGAACGCGCTGCAGGATCGGCGCGGCACGCGCGGGCGGCACTGCGCATGTGCCCAATGCGGGCAGCCCAGTCTCACGCTACACCTCCTTCCCACCGCCTTCCACTACGCGACTCAGACACAACACGGGCCGTGGGAAATTTCGTAAACCTCGCGAGAATGCGCCCACTGTTGCCTATGCTTTTCTCTCCAAATCTCGCGAAGTCCAAGCGGGACAGGTGTTTGTCTAGTGCAGCTCCGGGCACTGTTCGTGCCGCGTGCCCGGCCGGCGGGCAGGCGGGCGGGCGGGCGGCCGGCCGGCCGGCGTGGGCGGGGTGGGAAGTGAGCAGCTTGCCACCGAGGCCGAGCGGGTGGGCGCGTGGCGGGGAGCACAGCGGGGCGGGAGGCCAGGAAGGGGCTTGATGTCTCGCCTACACACGCCGCCTGACACTTTGTGGAAAAAAAAGAGGTTGGGGTGCAGAGGGGGGGTGTTCTAAAGAAAGAAGGGGAAGCCAGGAGATTGGAAACCCCTCCTGGTGTGGATGGTAAGAAGTCAAACTCTAGGGCTGGAGGAGCCCCGAGCTGATTCCCCGGGGAGGTTTCCTGTCGCCCTTCATGAGCCTGGTACTTTCCTAAAATGTGTTAGACGCCTCGCCCCCAGCCTCCGGAAACTGATGGCCCCCAGCGTCGGGTTTGAGTCATGCCTCCGAGTCGCCTCGTCTGGCCACCACTTTTCTTGCTTTTAAGCAAGTTCGGATTCTCTTAGCTACACTCTTCTAGCAATTGGTTTTCTTTCTGATCTACCCGCTGGCCTAGGGATTTGGGTAAGGAAAACAAACAAACAAAAAAAAAAATAGAGCTGCTCCCAGCGCTCTCCCATTGTTGCCTGTATAGATTCCGCTTTCCATTCATGGACACAATTTTTAAATCCCTGCCCCCCAACACCGCCCCCCCAACCAATCTCTTCCTAGCCTTTTTAAATGATCCCTATATAACAGTTTCTGTTCTTTTTCTTTTCTCTCACTAATATGACTTAAAACACTGGTTTTGCTTTCCCTCACCTTTGTGTTTGATGAAATATTCATTCCATTTTAAGTATTGTGTCATCAGATGCTTTAGTGACAGTTGTTTTAAATCAGAAATTTTTAGCCTTTTTCATCTCATGGCACACACAAACTAATTACTAAAGTTCTGCAGCACACTAAAGCATTTTTTGCCCATCTGAGGGACAAAAAACAACAACAAAAAACAACAGTATAGTTTGGATTCATTCACACTGGACAACTATTATTGTGTTGGCTGTTGTCATGTTTTATTTGGAAATCTAAGGAAAAAGAGATCAGTGCGCCTAACCAATATTCATGTATTGCACGTTTGAAAAATTCTTGCGGCACACCAGTTAAAAAATTGCTGTTTTAAATGCTCCCCTTCTTTTTAGATTGATTATTTGTCTAATGAATTCCTTCTTAAATTCTCCAGCCAGGCACATTTCAGATTGCCCTGGTGTAGTTTCTGTTACCAGCCTAGCTTTGAATTGTCTAGGAACTGGTATACTGGTATCTTGGTGACATCATAGACCTACAAAGGTAGAATTGAATTCAGTTTTGATTTTTCAAGGACAGTAAGTACTAATCTGCTGGTTGTGCAGTAGGCAAGAAATCGACTTTTTGAGTGGTATTCAAAGTTGTTAGTTTGTGTGCATTTACCTATCCCTTGGATTACATATATCACACAGCAAAAGAATATATAAGGACATTTAACACAATATCTCAGTGCAAGTCTGATTCGGAACAGGATAGCTCAGGAGGAAGACAATGCTCTTGGGGCCTTCATCCCAAGAAGTCATTTCAATCATGGTTTAGTCCAGGCCATTAATCTCATTTGGAACCATGGCCATCTGAGTACCCCAACCATGGAAAGCCATGGGAACCACACATCAAAACACAACTCATCTTTACCCTAAACTTTAGGGCCTAAAACATGCTCTTCTCGCATGCTTTCCCCATCCCAGTAAATGACAACTCCATCCCCCCCCTTATTTAAACCAAGAAGAACCTTAGAGTCATTCTTGCCTTCTTTTCCCCTCACATCCACCATGCACTCTAACAAAATCCTGCTGGCTCCACTTTCAAAACATAGCCACAGTCCAGCCAGTTCCACACCTTCATGGCTACCAGTCCAGTCTAACCCATCTCATTTCTCATGTAGTTGACAGGAAGTCTCCTAACTGGTTCTTCCTTCTTCAGCCTTGCCTTCCCGCAGCCTGTTCTCAATAGAGCATTCAGAGTAACCCTCTAGAACTCTCCATTAGTTCCCATTCACTATGAGGACCTACACAATCTGGTCTCTCGCCCTCCACCTCCCCCCACCCCACTGCCACCCACCCCCTCACTGACCTCACTTCTTCTTCCTCTTCCCCTTGCTCACGGAGCTCTAAGCAGCAGCCTTCCTTGCTGTTCCCAGAACATAACTCCTGCCTTTGCTCTTTCCCTCAGATGCCTGATGGCTCATTCCTTCACTGTTTTCAGGTCTTCGCTTAAGTGTCACCTCAGTGAGGCCTTCCCTGACCACCCTTCACAAAACTGATTCCTCATGTTCCCTGTTTCCTTTTTTATTTTTCCTACAGCATTTATCAGAAACTAACATACCATATCTCATACCTGTGTATTGTGTTTACTCTCTGCCTCCTCCCATTATAATGTAGTCTAAATGAGGGCAGGGCTTTTTGTCTATTTTTTTCATTGTTCAAACATTAGCCACTAGGACAAATGCTGTAAGCATTTGTAGAATGAATGGGATGTCTTCCACTTTAAATATTTTTTAATTGATTTGAGAGAGAGAGAGAAAGAAACGTCGATTTGTTGTTTCGCTATTCATTCATTATCAGCGGTTCTCAACCTGTGGGTCGCGACCCCTTAGGCGGTCGAACGACCCTTTCACAGGGGTCGCCTAAGACCATCCTGCATATCAGATATTTACATTATGATTCATAACAGTAGCAACATTACAGTTATGAAGCAGCAACAAAAATAATTTTATGGTTCGGTCACAACATGAGGAACTGTATTTAAAGGGCCAGAAGGTTGAGAACCGCTGCATTAGTTGCTTCTTGTATGTGCCCTAATCGGGGATCCAACCTGGAACCTTGGTATACCCGGATGATGCTCTAACCAACTGAGCTACCTGGCCAGGGCTTGTCTGTCTGCCACTTTAGAATGGCATGGAAATGATTCTGAAGGCTCCCTACTCCTTCCAAGATTCCAAACAATATTGGAGTCAGACCAGCAATGAATACCCCCAGTGCTAGCCTGCCCGCAGAGGAGAAAGGAGCCGATAGAGCAGCCACCTGTGCTGACTTTCTGACAAAAAAGTTCCTACTCCTGGGTTAGATCAGAAGATGGGCCTTCACTTTCTCAAAAGGTTTCCATTAATCTCCATTTTAGAACATCAGAAAAGAAAATGCTATTGGCAGGCTATTAAAAAACAAGACAGGTAATCTCATGTGTTGCTATTGGGAGTGAAAATGGGTGTGATCTTTATGAAAACCATTTTGATAAAACTTGCCACTAATTAATCCTACAATTTCATGTCTACAAATCTATCTCCCAAAGATACTTACACGTGTGAAATTACTTACATAGCAGCATTCACTGATGAAAGAAAATACTGGTAACAACCTAAATGTCAATCAAGAGATGTCGTACTTTTTTTTTTAATGATATATTTGTAGACTTGAATAGTATGCATCTGTTAATAAGCAGAGGCTGCTTTTTATGTGCTCATGTGAAGGGATCACAAACTAAAAAACAAGGTGCACAATAGGATAAATATATCCTTATTTGCTTATGCGTATC